GCCGAAACCAGCTACAGGAAGCCCTGTGATTGGATGACCCCAGGAATGTACTGTTTCAGCTTGTTCGCATATTTGAGGCCCTTACTCATACTGGGTGCAAAAGTGACACCCGATTTATCTACGTGTTCAGTCACATTTTTTTTGTTTTCTCATGGATTCAGGCAGAATATTGACATTTGGTCATTTTCAATTATTATCACATTTGTTTCTTTGCAAGCTTAAAAACATGAATTTTAATGCTTGTTATCAACACTTGGACACAATGATAGTTTGTCTAAAGTCTAAAGTGGTTTTCACCATTTATAGCTATTTTAATGAGTATGTATCTGACCCACTCTACCACGTGGTATCTGACTCTGCTACACTGATATCTGACTGTATTACACACTGGTATCAGACTCTACTACACTGGTGTCTGAGCTAATATGCCGTATCTGACTTTACTATTATTTCAATTATGCACAAAATCTTGATTCTTTATTATAAAACCATTGGCACTATATTATCTTATGTGTCCGAAGGATGAGAAACTATGGATTTTATGTTACAATCCGGGCACCCCCCCTTTGGGCAAAAACAGCAAGACTGAACTGCAAATTCTCTTTCATCCTTGATAGGGCCTCATATGCAAATAACTCTCCAGCTTTCAGAGTTTACCAAAATGGAGAATCAAGGCCACAGGCTCCTTCATCCACAACCAACCCTTCCGGGGAAAGAGCGAGCCTCACGTTGTTTTGCTCAGTTGATAAAGAAAAAGCTGTCTTAAGGACTATTTTTAGCGAAATATCGCCGTAACCGTTGTTTCAACGAAAGTAAGGGAGGTTGCTCTAGGTTTGTGTGCCACTCTTTTGAGGCTAGATTTAAAAACAAAGTTTTAAACGATTTTTTTGTACTCCAGTGCCCAACAGCTAAAAAAAACCCGGCTGCTTGCAAAATTAGCGTCCGCGAGAAACGAACTACTCGCTGGCACTACCCGCAAATGAGCGGGTAGCGAACCGTCCGTTTGTGAAGATTAGTTCGCTACTCTCTACACATCGCTCAGAGACAACAATTCGTTTAGCGAGCGAGTGGACGGGCGGAGGGAGAGACTCCATGCATCCGAGCGGGCGGACGGACAGACGGGAGCGACTCCTTCCATTGCCTACAACTTACAACCCCCCGCTCCCCCCAAAAAATTAATTAAAAAACCACCCTCCAACCTCACATTGTAGCTAGGCGTTCATGGCGAAATTTCCGCCCCCCCCCCCCTTGCAATAATTGGAACGTACACAGTGTGCCCCACGCACGAGGTGAAAGGTTACACACATAGTACTACGTCACCAGCCTCTCTCACTCCCTGTGGCACTGCTAGTGATTTAAAACATCAGGCCCAATTAACAAACAATAGACGATAGGTCTAACCTCCCGTCGAGTATCTCGTCTGCTAGAGTTCGTCCGTTCGCCCACCCGCCCACCTAGTGAATAAAATTGTGGAGCGGACCCAAACAACGAACTGTCTTGAGGTTCGCAGTTCACTCTCATGGCCGTTCGTTACCCGCTCGCTCAGACTGAGTCCGCGAGTAACGAACCCGTCCGTCCGCTCGCCCCAACTCTGCCGACCCGGTACGATTACTCTAGCTAGAGAGTCGGGCTTCTTTTAATTTCACTGCCTAGGACAGTACACTTTTTGGCGATTGTCAAGATTTCCGCATTTAATTCCGATGTGCGCTTTTCAAAGCCTAAGGTATGTTTCGCTTTGGTCCCTAACCCTAACCCTGATCCTAACTCTTCAATCCTAACCCTTACCCTGACCCTAACCTAGCAATGACAATGAAAAATGAAATTTTCATCCAAATTGCTTAAAAATGGACTTAAATGAAAATAGAGTAAATTCTAAGAACTATGGTTTTTAAAAATTAAAAATCCATTGATAAATAAAAGTTATTGGGATTTTTGTTTGCAAAATGTTGGAGGACCTTCATATAGGAAAAAATCGCCAAAATGTGGGACATGTTTTGATGTATTTTGAGGAAAAACTGTTCATAAGTCAGTAATGAATTGGAGCATATGATTATGAATGAAACTTGGCATCTCCATGTGATTTTTAGTGCCGAATCTAGTTCTGCTATCACTTTTTCGATGTCTTCATTACTTTGGATCTTAAAGACTGATATTTGCGTGAAATTTGTTGAATTGCGTGACATCGTTTTTACCGTGACGCGATCACCCCTTCTAAAATCAGTAAAACGCTATCGGGAAAACCCGCGATGTAGTCATCGGTGACCCATTTGGTTAGAGGCAGCCAATCACATGCCGCCTAGCGATCACGCGCCTCTTGCGTGCCGGCACCTCGCGTTTGGAATGCGCTATCAAGTTTCGAGATCGAGGGTTTTATCAATGGATGGGTGGTAATTTTAAGTTGGTACGGAAAATCTACTAAACGCAGAGATCTGAAATTTTACAGCAATAAAGAAGACATGTGGGGGCGCTTGTGTGGTCGGCGATCAACCCGCAGCTCCGCTTAGTTTTCGAACCACAGAGGAAATTCGCACAAACACGGCAATATCTCCGGTTCTAGTAATCGTTCGGGATTGTACGCTGGCATGTCTTTAGTTTAACCTTTCCTCTGGTTGGTTGCCGAGTTTCATTTATTTTCGTCCAGGAGTTTTCCCGTAACTAAACTTAGAAGAGTCACTTCTGATTCCGAGCGGCCCAAAAAATACCCCTCGCGCGGAGGCCGATTTCCGGCACAAGGCGCAGCGGGCGATTGGCATTGCTACCTAACCCTAACTCCAAATGCACCAAAGCGAAACATACCTTAGGCTTTGAAAAGCGCACATCGGAATTAAACGCGGAAATCTTGACAATCGCCCACTTTTTAAGTGAGCATAAGGCGAGCGGCCTTTTCTATCATCACAGAATATAGTCGCTTACACTTGGGACACTAAAGACTAAGACTAAGAAGACTTAACAAGTAGAATCTAATCTAAGCCGGGGAGGACTTCCGTAACGAGCGACCACCATGAGACAGCAGAATTGAGGGCTTGGGGTAAGGGTAGGGTTACGGGTAGGGGTAGGGGTAGGTCTAGGCCTCTTCTTTATTGTGTTTGATGGGGTGGTCACTCGTTACGGAAGTCCTTCCCTAAGCCGTAAGGCACTACCGTAAGGTAGGGTTGATTATTTGGGAGGACTTCCTATAAAGGAAGTGGCTATTCTCATCCGGGGTGAGAATAGAAAAACGATCTACCTCTCACCCCGGGTGAGAATTGCCAGCGTAGGCTATTCTCACCCGGTGCGAAACAAGACCTGCTTTTCCTCATTTTAGAATACTGTCTATCGGTGTGGATGATCCAATTGATAAAAGCCAAGAAAAAATTACTTTATAGCACAAAAGTAAAAGTAAGCTAATTTGATCGTCTTCAAAGATGCTATGGCTATTTCACTGTTCGAATCGAGCCGAACTACGCGGGTCGCCATTTTGTTTTGCCCGGAAGTTCTCGCAAGATCTACTCCTCCCCTATCTCTCTCTCTCTCTGTCTCTTTCTGAATACTGTCTATCGGTGTGGACGATCAAATTGACCAAAACAAAGTTAAAAAATGATGTTAAAACACAAAAGTAAATTAATTTGGTTGTCTACAAAGATGCTACAGCTAGATCTATTTAACTTTTCGAATCGAGCCGAACTACGCGGGTCGCCATTTTGTTTTGACCGGAAGTTCTCGCGCTAGGCCTACTCCTCTCTCTCTGTCTTTCTCTCTCTCCACTGCCCACAGACAAAATTGTACGCTTTTAGTAGGCTAGGATACAGTTGTAATGGAACGTTTGTTCACAGCACAGAATTCTACAATGTTTCTGTTATCGCAGTGTTGAATTCTGTGGTTTAGGGTGAACGCAAAATTTGTTGGCCTAGATCTAGGCTATAACGGTGAACGCGCACCGGGTGAGAATAGCCAAAAGATTCGCCTGCACTATTCTCATCCCGGGTGAGAATAGAGGTGGCCTCCTATAATTTTTACTCAACTTAACTTTAACATCCGAACTGTAAAATTGCTTACTAATAATGGACACTTTACCTTCTTCTTTTTTGTTCCCCCCATGTTTCCTGGTCGTCCAAAAGACTAGATTGTCAGGGAAGTCAAAGAGAGTGGACGTTGAAATATTTCCAGCAGGTTGGGATGTCTCACTAATCACGTTGTCTTGTTGTGGTGGAAGCATGCATTGAGCCTCGCCTAGGAATAGGAAAGTTTGTTGAATTTTATACTGCTTGACTTAAAGTTACACGTGCTTCCGTATAATATTTTGATACGTCTAAAAAGTTTAAAGGATTTATTGACACGAATGTATTATAATACTAAGATAGGGGAATATTAAAAGATTTGGATTTTAGAAGCATGTTATGTTTGAAAAAAAATAGTTGTGTGTTTTAAAACTAAAAAAAGCGGTGAACACAATGAAATCAGTTATTTTGAAAAACATTGAGTCGCTTGAATGAAAGAATGAGCATAGAATCAATGAGAGAAGAAGAATCGAGTGATTCAGGGGAGGTCACTCACTCTGTGTGCTCAATAGGTGAGCGCGGCAGTCACCACAGCGGTACATTGTGTGTTGTTGTGTGTAGTTACAGTAACGAACTGTGTGTAGTGTAGATCTAGATTCTCTAGATCTAATATATTATAGAATTAGATTAGTAACTGAGTGTAGCCTCACTAAAAAAATGTAGGCCCAACCCGAACTTAGAACTTGCTCGCCTTCTTCAAGTTCAAGTCTAAGAAGTTGATTCAACTGTTGAAGTTCATCATCCCCTGCTGGGTACCATCCCCTGTGCCCTGTGCCCTGTATCTAGAATCTAATCTAGATGTAGATATAGAATCTAGATCTAGATCTAGATATAGAATCTAGATCTAGAATAGATATCTAGATCTAGATCTACTGTGAAATTGGAAGTTCTATTGACTTTTCTTGTTTAAATTTTAGCTGCAAGTGAGTAGATTTGGTGATCTTGTAGTTCTGTCGTTAAAAGTAATAAAGTCCATGATCCATATTTTTGTTTACATCCAGAGAAGAAATTTGGAAGTCTTGATGACCAAATAGGCAACACAAATTACAGGGATGCAACTTAACTGCAAAACATCAATTAATTATGGTAAAATTCAGGGGGGTGGGAGCATGCCCCCCTGAACCCCCCCTCCACCCCTGTTTTTATTAGGTCAGGGGCACAGAATTCGACGCTTTTTCGGTAGTTCCCACCCCGCATTTGTTATTCGCCGGTTTTGGCCCCAAGAGTAGGGGGGGTTTCAGGGGGGCATGCCCCCCTGAATTTTACCACAATTTAATGTTTTGCAGTTGTTAAGTTTGACATCTTAGCTTGCCGCGAATCAAACGTATATATAGATCTAGATGTAGGTCAGGCTCTATCAAATAAGGGGGGTGGGAACTACCGAAAAAGCGCCCAGAATTCTACACTTATAGAATGGGAACTGTACCACGTGACCTGTGAGGAATTGAAGACCGAAAACAATGGCGTCTTGAGGGCACTATTTACGGTTTTCG